TCACTCATCCAAGGGACTTCTTCAGTCTCGAAGAAACCATAGAAAATGTTGAAATGGGGTGAGACTAAACAGTTCCTGTTCAAGCAAACGCACAGGACCTCCATTACCAAAAACTTAGTCAGTTGTTAGCCAAAAACAAGAATGTGTTTTCAGCAAGAGAAAGTGATTATGGCTATAAGACAGCACTGAAAAACAATCCCATTATCAGGCCAGTGTTGTTCAAGACCCCCGTGATGAGGAAGAGCTCAGGCATTGTGTATTACCTTTTTACCCCCTTTAATTGGCCAAGACAGTGTCGGGCACCAAGTGCCCAGCATTCCAGATTACCAGTCCAGTTTCAGTGCCATCCACATTATTTGTTACTTTCTAATTATATCATATTGCATTACCTTATTTACGTACCCCATGTAGAAAGTAGTTAGCTTTTTGTTAATTGTTTTTCATAATCAGAATCAGAATACTTTATTATTCCCTATGGAAATTATGTAGGTGAAGTTGCAGAAACTAACCTATTGAGCCACTGACTAACTGATTGCATCACTTTGTGTCATGCCTTTGTCAGTTAACCTTCCAGTGTCGGTAGACACATAGGTGTGTCCAGATCATATGGCCAATTTAAGAAGACATGGCTGCAAGACTCAGCCTAGCTGCATCCCTTTAGGATTTAAAAGCTGGTGCAATGTGCAAAATATGCACTTTTGGTATAAGTTGAAACAGTGCAGTTATATGGATTTTATAGTCTATGCTGAGGACACATCTTACTGTAAACAACGCAGAAGCTTTTTAGATGTTTTATGATGTGGTAATGATGCTTTTACACTATGGATATAATACATACAAACGTAAGAATGTTCTGAAATAATAAAATGGTAAATGGCCTGTATGTGTATAGTGCTTTACTTAGTCCCTAAGGACCCCAAAGCACTTTACACTACATTCAGTCATTCACCCATTCACACACAAATTCACATTTTTTTTTATTTTAGATCATCTTAATTAATATTTAAGAGTACCGATTTTAGTTCCAGGTGGCTGTATCTCAGGAGGTAGCACAGGTCATCTACTAATCGGAAGAATGGCTGCTCCAATCTGCATGCCAAATATCCTGGGTCAAGATAGTTGATGCAGTAGTTGACTACTACTACTGCATGTAGTAGAATAATGATTAATCCTAATTAAAAAAAAATTTAAAAGTGAGAAAATAAATTGTATTAGATGGAGGAGTTGAACAAGGAGATGGCCACGCGCCGGAATGATTTACTGAACGACACAGGAAATCATTCCTGCCTGTGGCCATCTCCCTGTACAACTCCTCCATCTAACACACTCTAAGCACTGCAATAGTTACACCCTTTTTGCACACGCTCTACAGTAAAATAGCAATTGACAAAGTTCACAGGTTAGAGTGTAATGTCAATCATATATAGTCCACCCTGTAATATTCTTACCTCTGTAATATTCTTGATATGTATAATTGAGTGATTTGTATATATTAGCACTAATTCTTAAATCTGTAAACTCGGTAACATATTGTATTATTTAAATAGTTTTGTCTGTTACTGTTACTGTCTTGAAGCAACTGTAGCCCACATAATTTCCTTAAGGATTAATAAAGTATTCTGATACTGATTCTGAAATGAGTAAAATACTTTACTAACTCATATTTTATTACTTAATTCATTATTAAAATACAAAATCCTTTATTTTTATACATTTGACTTTTCTGGTCCTTCATTCATGTCACATTTTTGTTTTTTCATGAGAATTTCCTGCAAACCTTTTTTAATTTTGTTATTCGGACGAGCAGTGTGTAGAATTTTGAGGTCAAAAATGTTTGCAATCCAGATGGATTACGGTTTTAATATTGCAAAATGTGGAACAAGTGAATACTTTGTGTATGTACTGTAAGTGGTGGAGTTGAAGAACTATGTATTACACATCCTTTACTTTAATTTAACCTTTGCAAAAATGAAACTGTCAGGCTACTAGTGTCTTTCTCCCTCTGTGACTTTACCTACCCTCTATATTGGTACACCTAGTGTTTGTGTCACAGTCTGGCTGGGGCAGACTGTATGTGTTGGCAAAAGAGGACTCAAACGCAGACCAAAAACTAAACATGGCGTGGATTTAACAAAAAACAAGCCGTTTATTGAGGCTAGCAAAAAAGGTACAAACAAAAGGGCATTGGTGAAACTAAACAATAACC